AACTCTTACTTACGATCTTTCTTGAAAATCATGTATCAAATCCATTGCAAAATTACATCTGCAAAGGTTGCATCTCTTTATTGTGTTTGACACTTTCTTACTCCGGATTCTATTCTTTATCTCTATAAAGAATAGAATCCGGATCTGGGGCAAATTTTCTAATGATGCCCTTTCTCTTTTAGACAAGGTGCAAAAATGCATTATAAACATAATTGGACCTGCTCTTGCAGCCAACCTCCAACCATTATCACATTTTCATAATGTTGCTTCTTTCTCTTTTCTACAAATACTATAACGGGAACTGCTCTAAAGAGCTAGCATCTCTAGTACCATCTACTTAAATTCATTCTTGTATTACTCGTCATTCAATTAAGTCTCATCCTTTTTCTATGACTGTTCGTAAATGCTCCAAAAACTTTTGTCTAGTTTTTTTCGTCGAACATCAGTTCATTGGAATTTGCTTCCTTCATCTTGCTACCTGATTCATAAAATTTGCAATCTTTTAAAGTTTGGAGAGTCTGGGTCCAAGGAAAATTAATCTTTACAGATTTGGGTTTGAAAAACAGTAATAATTGTATTTTGGATTGAGTCATTAAATAACATCTCATTTAAATTGTCATTAAGTGTGATAAGTATTATTAATTTATTTATTTATTCCTTTCTAAGAAAAGAATTATTTAAGAATTTTTTCTTTTAATTAAAGTAAATATTTTCTTGATTTTTATAATTTTTAATTAAATGTTAAAAAAATTAATTTAAATACAAAACCAATAAAATGCAAAAATGCATTATAAACTTAGTTGGACCTGCTCTTGCAGCCAACCTCCAACCATTACCACATCGTTGTAGCATTGCTTCTCTTACTCTTTTCTACAAATACTATAATGAGCACTGCTCTAAACAGCTAGCATCTCTAGTGCCATATACTAAAACTTTGGCATGTTATCCAATTAGATTGTTTTCCAATAGGACTGTTATCCAATGTAAATTGAGACTAAGTTTCGTAAGAGACAGAGTTTGATTTAGTAAAGTTAGATTTAATGAATTGCCAAAATGTCAAATCACGCCAAGATTCATGAAAATTGAAAGTTTGTGTGCTTGCTCTGTCTGTTTCTTGCGTTGCCTCAGTCTATTAGGAAAAAGTTTGTCCCACCAATGCTCTCAAATAAAGTTCAGGGAAAACCTTCAATCTTTAGCAACAAGAGATGTCAAAGCAATGAAATGAATTGCATTTCAAGTTCTGGTCAGGTCAGGTTTATCATGCTACTGGTAACATGTAACCCAGTACAGTCTGCTTCATGTCCTGCTGCCTTGTAGGATATGCCTTTTTAGGCAAAGGCTAGGAGGTGCAAACTCCGACATTAAACACCCCCTGCCTTGGGGCTCTTGGTTGAATAAAGGCTAGAGATGGCGTCTCGATAAAAATACTCATCTTGGGCAGATGTTAAATGTATCCAGCTGCTGTCTTGTAGAAGGCCTCCTAGGCAAAGACTTAAGGGGTAAATAGATTCTATCTGTTGAACAGCCTCGCACCCCTTCTCCATCTATTAGGCTGGCGCAGATGTATTTTTAATACATTGTTTCCAGTTTAGGATGTTGAACGCTGGATCTTCTTGACTCGATACATGGATTTTGCTTGTGTTTTTATGACTAGGCAACTCATTCTATTATCTCCAAATAAGGGTACAGCTCTAAAACTCAGTTTTATGGTTCTGAGGCCGGCTGGTACTCAGGTTTCCCGAACTCTGTGGTAGCTCTCAGAGAGGCTGACTCCATCAACAGCTGAAAAATATCAGAGTACTAACAGTGCCATGTTGCGCATGGATGGTGTCCCTGTTTCTACTTTTGGTGTGCATTGCCAGGGCCACATTGGGACCCTTTGTTACAGCTTAGGGTTTATTAGTGGAAATGAGGCAATTGCTTGGGCTATAAAACAGTGTACTGAATACTATCTATGTTTCAAGTCAAGTTCTTTAACAAATTTAAAAGTGAATAAAGTAATAAAAACTATAAAACACAAAAAACCACAGTCATCACCAAGTTCGCTAAACCTATCATTCACCAATATTCTTGGTCTTCGAAGTAACTTTTCTTCTGTTGAGTCTTACCTCTTGCAAAGTTCACCAGACCTACTTGCTCTTTGTGAGACTAATTTGAGTTCAGCTGTCTCATCTTGTGATCTTAGTGTTGATGGTTATCTTCCTTTAATTTGTAAAGACTCTAATAGCCACATGCTTGGCCTAGGCATTTACATTCGTAAGAATTCACCCATTTGTTGGGAAACTAGGTTTGAATCCACAGACTACTCTTTTATGTGCTTTCGTTTAGCACCACTTCACTTTATCACCTTTCTCTTTGTTTTATATGGCTCTTCTTCATCTCAAGACTGCACTCTTCTTGATATTATTTCTGATTATATTGACCAAGCCCTCATTCTTTATCCATCAGCCAATATTGTTGTTGTCGGTGACTTTAATGTTCATCACACTGAATGGCTTAGCTCTAGTGTCAGTGACTCTGCAGGCATTAAGGCCCACAACTTTTGCCTTTCTCAATCCCTAACTCAAATAGTCAACTTTCCAACTCGCTTTCCAGACAACCCGAATCATTTACCTTCTCTACTCGACTTATGTCTTGTTTCTGATTCTAGTCAGTGCTCAGTTTCTCCACACTCACCCTTAGGTGACTTCTGGAGAATCTTTAATAGTATCAATAATAAGGGCAAGTCTGTAATTCCGCCTCTTTTTTACGGTTCAGACTTTGTCACCTCACCTAAAGACAAAGCTGAATTGTTTGCCAAGAACTTTTCATCAATATCATCTCTTGATTCCATTAGTTGCGTTCTACCTGATATAGCCATCAAACAGGTTGATCCTTTGCTCGACATCCGTATCACTCCAGCTTCTGTATCTAGAGTGATTTCCTTCTTAGACTTTTCAACAGCTTGCGGCCCGGACAACATACCTGTTATAGTCTTGCAGAAGTGTTCTCCGGAGCTGTCGTCTATCCTTTCAAAACTATTTAACAAGAGCTTATCAGAGTCTTGTTTTCCGGCCTGCTGGAAAGCAGCATTTGTTATCCCTATTTTTAAAAATTCTGGAGAGCGATTCGATTCATCTAACTATCGTCCCATTAGTCTTCTTCCTATCATAAGCAAGGTTTTTGAACCTTTAATTAACAAACACTTAATCTGGAATCTCATAACCTACTTTCTGATCATCAATATGGATTTCGATCTTCTCGCTCTACGGCTGATTTGCTATCAGTAATAACCGATAGGTTTTATCGCGCATTAGATAAAGGTGGAGAGGTTAAGGCCATCATTCTTGACATTTCTAAAGCGTTTGATAAAGTTTGGCATGCATGCTTCTCCATAAGCTTTCTTCTTACGGTTTATCTGGAAACATCTTTAAGATTATTGAATCCTTCCTTTCCAATTGTAGTATAAAAGTTGTCCTTGATGGACAGCACTCTTCTTCTTATTCTGTAACCTCAGGGGTTCTCCAAGGTTCAATCCTTGGCCCTATACTCTTTTTAATTCACATTAACGATATTTCAGATATTCTCACATCTAAGGTGGCATTGTTCGCTGATGATACTACCATTTATTCTTGTCACGATAAGAGGCCAACTCCCTCTGATTGCTTGCAGGGGGCATCTGAGCCTGAAAAGGATCTCACTTCTGATCTTTCTTGGAAACCTTACATCAAATCCGTTGCAAAATTAGCATCTGCTAAAGTTGCTTCTCTTTATCGAGCTCGCCACTTTCTTACTCTGGATTCTATTCTCTATCTCTATAAATCTCAAATCCGGCCTTGTATGGAATACTGTTGCCATATCTGGGGCGGATCTTCTAATGATGCCCTTTCTCTTTTAGACAAGGTGCAAAAATGCATTGTAAACATAGTTGGACCTGCTCTTGCAGCCAACCTTCAACCTCTGTCACATTGTTATAATGTTGCTTCTCTTTCTCTTTTCTACAAATACTATAATGGGCATTGCTCTAAAGAGCTAGCATCTTCTGAGCCATCTACTAAAGTTCATTCTTGTGTTACTCATCATTCAATTAAGTCTCATCCTTTTTCTCTTACTGTTCCTAAGTGCTCTAAAAACTCTTATTCCTCTAGTTTTTTTCTTCGAACATTATTATACAGGGTTTTTTATTGGCGCACTACGAAGTCAAAAAAAATTCAATTTGAACATTCAAATTTAATTTTTTTTCAGCTGACAATTAACACATAATTAATTCAAAAGATTTCAAGATTTCACAGGGTACCTCGATGTGTGCGCTATTTTTCCATATTATTGGCATTCTTGGGTAAGCTACTTTGGCATTACCAGTGTTCATGATAGTTGTGTAGTTCTGTGTATATAACTGTGTAGTTTCATTGAATCATTATTGTTTTGTTTTTTATTCAATTTATTTTGCTTGGAGTGAAACGCTGCATTCTTATTTTTCAATTATGTTCTCTAATTAAAACACTTGAATTATCACTTGATTCAAAGATCAGTTTGATATAAAGATTGGCAAACACTAAACAGTGCTTGTACATTTGAACTAAGCCTCCTCGTCTTCTATATTTTATTGTCATTTAACTAGTTGCTTTTCTTCTGTTTTTTTTTTTTAGTTGCTAAGTATTTTATTTGAATATGGTATTTTAGTAAGCTTGTGTTGAGTCTTTTCAAGAATTGAAATTTTGGCTAGATTTGGTAGACTTCATACGCTGGAGCTGCAAACTTACTATGTGGTTGTACATATTAAGGTTCATATGTAAATGTTATATATGAGACATTATTTACCACTATATCTATGAATGATATATGAGGCAAGTAAATACATAGGCTAAAGAGGTTGTCTTAGGCAGGGTTTTTTTTTTTTCAGGACTTTTTTCCTTTTCTTTTCTAAAATTGAAAGTGAAATTAAGACTTGTTTTGTTTCTATGTTTCTTGTGTTGTTTTTCTTCTGTTTCTAATACTTTACTGTTATAGGTTTTTTATAGGTTTTCAGAGAAGCAAATTTAAAAGGATTTGATTCTTCCTTATTTGAAACAAGACAGGTTTTTTACAGTAGCAAAGATGGTACCAGTGTTCCAATGTTTTTGATTTATAAAAAGGTACTTTTTGTTGTTGCATATATTTTATTTATATTTATATTATATAAGCTGATAGTGCACAATAGTAAATAACAAAAGTTTTTTCTTAGAGAATTTTTTTTTCAAACCATCTTAGTAAAATAATATTATAAAATTAAAAAAAATAAAAATTACATTGATAAATACTATGAATAAATGTATACTTACCTAATATGGGCCTTAGTAAAATGCGAAATGCAGAAATTTTCAATGTGTAAAGTGCAGGAATAAAGTGTGGAAATATGGTTAGGGGCTTAGGGTCTTCAGTACATACTAATTTAGAGAGAATATGCAAAGGAGTGCTGCTTCTTGACTTTGACTGAGGGTTTAGGTTTGAGCAGTGATATGATTAGGAGAAATTTTTGCACTTTATTATTTTGCTGTTCTGTTTAGGAAAATTTTTGGATTGCTGTTTTTTTTTTTTTTTTTTCTAATAGAGGACTAATAAACGTTTTTTGTATTGAAAATTTATAAACTGTTTTTAGGGCCTAGAATTAAATGGAAATACTCCATGTTATCTGTATGGCTATGGTGGTTTTAATATATCAGTTACACCAAGTTTCAATGTTTCTAGGTTGGTTTTCATACAAAATATGGGAGGAATGTGTGCTGTAGCAAATATTCGTGGAGGAGGGTATGTTTTTCACTTTCTTTTACTTTTATACTGTTAGTTATTTATTCTTTATCTTATTTGGGTTGTGAAAAAATTTAATTTAAGAGAGTACGGTGAAAAGTGGCATAAAGATGGCTGCTTATCAAAGAAACAAAATGTGTTTGATGATTTTATTTCTGCTGCTGAATATCTCATTGAAAATAAATATACAAAACCAAATAGGTAATTTTTTGAAAAAAGTTTTACCTACTAAATTAAAGTATGTTTCATTTTTTATTGAGACAAAAGCACAATGACAACATATTTTTTATGCTCACATTTTTTATTTAGACTAGCAATCAGTGGTGGTTCAAATGGTGGTCTCTTAGTAACAGTTTGTATGAATCAAAGACCAGACTTGTTTAAATGCGTTGTTGCAAATGTCAGGTTTGAGTTCATTTAAAGTTATATCTTTTATGTATTTGATACACATACACACTTTGTAAATTTGTTTATATATTTTATTTTTTTATTTAAATTATTTGATCTAGTGTGACCGATATGCTAAATTTTCACAAGTATACAATTGGTCATGCATGGTTAGCACTTTTTTAAATGAGTTCTTTATTATATTTTATATATTAGAGTATTAACAATTAATTTATCCATTTTATCATTTTAATAAATTTTTACTTTTAATTCTAGGACAAGTGAATATGGATGTTCTGATAATAAAGAAGATTTTGAGTTTTTAATCAAGTTAGTTGTTTTCTAAATTATGTTTGTATATGTATATGTTATGTATAAAATATGTTTGTATATGTATATATTATGTATAAATTATGTGTGTATATGTATATATTATATATAAATTATGTGTGTATATGTATATATTTTGTATAAATTATGTGTGTATATGTATATATTAACCACATATAGATTGCTTTTCTAAAAGATAAATATTTTAATTTAGTTATAAAATAAATATGAAACATATAAATAATGCACAACTTCACTCTAATATAAAATTGTAAGCCAACGCAATCACAGCTTTCATTTGAATGAAATGTGCAAGTTTTTATCCCTTTTATAGTGCTTGATTATTCGTGTCTTTAAATGACAAGTAGTTTTGCCAATATAACAGGATTTACAGCCTGCAAATTCAAGTTTATAAACAACAAATGATTTAAAGTCTACAGGAAAGGGATCTATAGCCAAAAAAATTTTGAAATTTTCAATGAAATGAAAACCAATCTTACAGTGACAGATTTACAATGCCTTTTAATGATTGCGTTTAACTTTTGATTAAATCAGATATTTTTCTCCATTATAAGATTTGAGCCATTTATTCTAAAAATTTCTCGTGATAAGATTTGCAAGAACAGGTGCTAAGGGAAAACCCATAGCAACACCATCAATTTGGTCATAAATTTGTTCTTTGAAGAGAAATTGAGTTGATGTTGCAAAATCGTTTTTTCAATTCACTTTAACTTATTTTAAGATTGACTTTACAATTTATAATGCTATTGATAGCAATATCTATTGTTTCTTGTTGTGGAATATTGGTATATAAATGTCTAATATCATAAGATACTAAGAAATGTTTATGAAGGTTAGCTTGGTTTACTTCTTTAGCATAAAAATAAATACAAATGTTTAATTTAATTATAATAATTTTAGCATATTTTTAGCATAAAAACCAGCTTTTTATAAACGTTATGTAGATTACATTTGCTGCTTTCACATCTGAAAAAAAATTTATTCTTGGAGTATATCAATAATAAACATAATTCCATAATTACCACTGTTTTTCATAAGAAAACTTTCTCAAGACTTTACACAAATTTTTCTAGTTTTACTTCATTTTCATACAAATGGTTCTGATTAAATGTTTAATTGAGCTTATAAAACTAAAAACACTATTCTTGGTCTTAGTCATGATATTAACATGATATCTTTTTAAAGTGATGATATCTTTTTAAAATTCTCAAATGCAATTTGATTTGGCTTCTAACAAATTTATTTTAAAACTCAAAGAAAGCATGTACATAGAGTGGGAAAAACCTACTGCTGATAAAAGAAAATGTTTAATCAGTAGAGCTTACAAAACTAACAACACTAGTCTCAGTCTTAGTCATGATATTAATGATCTTTTTAAAGTTCTCAAACACAACTTGTACCCATCTAGGTTGATTAAGAAAATTTAAAGCTCCTATATTAACAACACCAATGTCAACATTTCATTGCATTTGGAAAACCTAGAAAATTATCAATATTTTAAACTTCCGTATATTGGAAAAACTAAACAAAATTTAAACGCTAACTAAACAAAATTTAGCTAAACAAAAAAAAAACGCTATCATTGAAAGACAACTACATTTTGATAGCTGTAAAATCAACCAACAACCTGTCTTTGGGGCCTCAATTTCTCACTAGGTATTAAAAATTTTCCACTAGGTATTACTAAAACAAAACAAAAAAAAAAGCTTAAATTTCCAAAAGGGCCCCTAAATTTACAAATAAGTCCCCTAAATTCCCTTGGGGTGTGGGGTAGTCTAGCCATGACTCTGGTTATGACTGTTGAAAAGTTTTTTTCTCAGAACCTAACATTTGAGATAAGATTCAAGATTTGAAAAACTGATAATAATGGTGTTTAGTACCTTTTTACATTGACAATAATAAAAAGATATTTGTCCTCAAGAAAGATATACTTGAAAAAAGGATGAAAAAAATGATTAAAGTAGCAACCATGTAAGAAGGTGAAAAACATGGAGTAGAATGAGGCTGGACTTAAATTTGATAAGATTAAAAAAATGCTTCCATACCTGCTTGGATTCATTGGATTCCGTACCTGCTTGAGGTTGGGTAAGAGGCACATTTATGCATACATATTATGGATAAATATATGGATATAAACATATGTTTCCTATTTATTTAGATTCTGGCATACCATAACTTTACATATTTAATATGTAATAGTACCATTACTTTAATAATACCATAATACCATAAAAAATAATACCATAACTTTAATAATACCATAACTTTACATATTTAGTATAAACTTTAGTATTTATACCTTGTAGTATTTGCAACATATTACTGGGTTTGAAGAAATTACTGGAGCAAATTACTACACCTTATTACTGGAACAAATTACTCCAACATATTACTGAAACAAATTACTTTAACTATTACTGGAGCAATGGCAGTCAGTTTTCTCTAAACCATGTTTTTTGATATATGATGTATGTTTAGATATGTAAACATGAAAAACCTATTAATATATTTCGCTTAAATGCTGTGAGCTTAACTTGTGACAAAACATCTAGAATGAGTAGATAATTTTGTGCATCTTGATGCTTATGGCCAGGTGACATTGAATTGATTTCAAGGAAAATGTTTCAGCTGGTTGTGTCAAAACGTATTAGATCAATACATGTTTGGGCACTCCTGTGTTGAACTACTGCTGACATCTGATTTTTTTCTGTTCAATTAAACATGTTGTTATCATTAACAATTGTCTTAGAAACCTATAACTAATGTCAGAAAAAAGTTAAATTGATGAATGATGCTACTAAAGTATTAAAACTTGCCATTTCAACACACTGTAAACAGTAAATTTCCTAACAAATTGAGTTCAAATCTGTTTCTAGAACGTTGTAGAATATTAAGTTATTACTTAATAATTTGATTATTGATATTACATATTTGTAGTTATGTAATTAGTTCTACGATTTATTAAAATCTTTAAATAAAGATGCTTAAAGTTGCTTACATTTACCCAAAAAAAATATTTTTTTAGTGAAATTAAGCAACAATATTATATATAATATAACAAAAATATTACATTATACTATATATTTTTTAAATGCTAATAAATTAGGTATTCTCCTTTGCACAATGTATGTAAACAGTCTAGTTACCAGTACCCTGCCTTGTTGCTTCTTACAGCAGATCATGATGATCGGGTTGTTCCCCTTCATTCATACAAGTTGATTGCAGAGCTGCAACACAAATTAACTGGCAACGAACACCAGGTATTTAAATTAGATGTTAAAATAAAATAAAAAGTTCATTTTGTTTATATATATATATGAATATATATATATATATATATATATATATATATATATATATATATATATATATATATATATATATATATATATATATATATATATATATATATATATATATATATATATTTATAAAAACTTTTGTTGAAGTCTAGCTCTACTTATTTCAAATGACTTCCAAGTTTTCTGAACTTAATATTCTGGAGTAATAAATATAGTCTTGAGATGCTGCCAAAACGATGCAATGTTCAAAGTACCATGGCATGTCTTTTAATGTTTAATTGTGTTTGAACTATTGCCCGTTTGCTTTAATACTATTTTTTTTTAATGCTCAATGCATCTATATATCATCTT